GGATTCTCCATCCCTGGAGGTTTCTAAGCAGAGACTGGATGTGGCATCAGTGCCATGGGCTGGGAACCACAGCGGGGTTGGATCAAGGGTTGGACTGGATGATCTCAGAGGTCCCTTCCAACCCAGCTGATTCTCTGATTCTTGATTCTACCCCTTTTTCCCTGCAGAGACTGGACAGAACTGCCTCCCCCTCCACGAGCAGCATCGACTCTGCCACCGACTCCCGGGAGCGCAGTGGGAAAGGGGAGACCATCCTGCAGAGAGTGCAGAGCATCCCTGGCAACGACCAGTGCTGTGACTGTGGGCAGCCAGACCCTCGCTGGGCCAGTATCAACCTGGGCATTCTGCTGTGCATCGAGTGCTCAGGGATCCACAGGTACTGTGTGTGTGTGTGTGTGTGTGCTCTGGGTGAGCCAGGCAGGGATTGCAGGCTCCTGGGGAAAAGGTGGAGCTGGAATTACCACTGATTAAAAATGCTTGTGCAGATAAATTCAAAAATAATTGCTTGCTGAGGTGCCTGTGTGTGCAGGTACATCTGTGTTGGCATATGCACAACACTCTGCATCTGTGTAGAAGATAAATAAGAACTGCACCAATCTTGCTCATCTGAACATGCATGAGAAGTTCTGTTTTGAGGCATGTAACCACTTTGGTTTTCTTCCCCTTGGCTGAACAGGAGCCTGGGTGTTCACTGCTCCAAGGTCAGATCCCTCACACTGGATTCCTGGGAGCCAGAGTTACTGAAGGTGAGTGTTGGAATTATACAGCAAGAGATGGATGAATGGTGGGTGTGGAGGGAGGGTTGTTTGGTGGCAGGATAGACTAGAAGGAAGGTAACTCCTCACCTGGGGATTTAATTCATTCCCTGTTGAATTGCAGCTGATGTGTGAGCTGGGGAACAGCACCATGAATCAGATTTATGAGGCACAGTGTGAAGAGCTGGGACTCAAGAAACCAACAGCAGGGAGCTCCAGGTGAGTCTGGGGGCACACACTGTCCTGTGGGAAGCCATCCATCCATCCATCCATCCATCCACACTGCAAACCCAGTACCCCAAACTCCCCAGAAGTCAGACCAAGAGAGCTCCAAACACCACAGGTACACCTACCCCAGCTCAGTCCCTCTGGAGCTCACCTGAGCTTGACCCTCCCAAAGGTCAGGGGGGCATTCCCAGCCCTGCTGAACGTGCTGGAAACCAGGACTGGCTGGGTTTATCCCTGGGTTACATCTGCTCTGAGACCTGAAGCATGTGGTGGTGCCTGGGGCTGAACATCTCACACACCACTCTCAGCTGCACCCTTGTTTTTCAAAAATCACAAAAATTTTATAAAGGCAAATGCATTCAAGAGACAAAGCCACCCCCTTTTATTAGGGTAAAGATAGAGTCATAACAAAATATTTGAAATTTTCTAAATAACCACCTGGACTTCAGCAGTTCCTAAATGACATTAAATGATACAAGCCTTCTGAGGAAAAAAGATCACTGCTGTAGGCAACACTACTCATAAGCTCTATTTGACAAAACAAAGTAGCAGCAAAATATTCAGCTTATTTCTTTCAACAAAAAAGAAATAAGAAAAAAATAATGGCAAGGTTAAAACTTATCTGAATGCCAAGAAGCATCAGGTTCAGGAGCTCATAACTTGAACATCCTAAACTGTTTTCTGGTGAAGTCATTCATATAATGGATTGGTGAAGTCATTCATATAATGGATTGGTGAAGTCATTCATATAATGGATTGGTGAAGTCATTCATATAATGGATTGGTAGCTGTGCCTTGACAGAGCAGACGTTTTTAGCTTTGAGAAACCTGAATTTTTAGGTCTCGAAGCCGGGCTGACAAAATTCCCCGGAGCAGCTCCGTCTCCTCGTGACTGCTGCGGGCAAATCGTGACTCTGTGCCCGGCTCTGTGCCTTCCCTTAGGCAGGACAAGGAGGCCTGGATCAAGGTGAAGTACGTGGAGAAGAAGTTCCTGAAGAAGCTGCCGAGCGGGGAGGCTCTGGCGGAGAACGAGCGGAAGCCTCGCCGCTGGTGCGTCAAGAAGTGCCAGAGGCACAACAGCGCCACGAAAGCACCCGCAGCTCGGAGGAAGTACCGGCACGAGGCAGGGAATGCCTCCCCAGCCCTGCTGTCCTCAGGTGGGAACACCCCCGTGCCCTCCCAGTACCAGCCTGTGGCCCCAAGCTCGCTGCAAACCTGCCCTGGGTATAACCCAAAATGCTTTTGCACGTGTTGACACGGGTTTGTAAACCCATTTCCTGACGTTTTCCGTCGGTTTAAGGAGCTTCTCGTGGCTAAAGGTTGTTCCACTTTCTGCGTTTTCTTTTTAATAAGTCTCGAATCCTTTTATTTTTAGCTGCCTGGTCTGTAAGAGGGGCCACGCTTAGGAAGGGTTCTGGCTGCTCAGGGTGCTCTGGGATGAGTAGGTTTGCAGCAGATCAGCCCCCTGGATGAGTAGGTTTGCAGTGGATCAGCCCCCTAGATGGTTGGTTTGCAGTGGATCCCCCAGGGATGGTTGGTTTGCAGCAGATCAGCCCCCTGGGATGGTTGGTTTGCAGTGGATCAGCCCCCTGGGATGGTTGGTTTGCAGTGGATCACCAACCTGGGATGGTTGGTTTGCAGTGGATCACCAACCTGGGATGGTTGGTTTGCAGCAGATCAGCCCCCAGGGATGGTTGGTTTGCAGTGGATCA